TTTGCTGCACTGTGATGCATTTGTTCACCCCCTCTTCTTCCTTTGCAGCTTTAGGCTAAGTTCACACTAGCTTTGTTAGCAGGCGTTTGACAGGCATTTGGGAAGCGTTTTTAACGCTCCTCAAACGCCTATGAAAATTCTACACAAGGTAGCTCACAGTGCTGTTCACACTAAAGTGTTACCGTCGTGTCAAAATTGACACCTCATGTCCAGCTAAGAGGAATTGAAGCCTCCCATTAAAGTCTATGGTGATGCTCCTCAAACTCCTGGCAGACGTTTGCGGGGCGTTTGTGGAGCGTTAATACCATTAAACTTCATTATAGGCGTTTGTGGTGCAGTTTTAAAGCTTGGCAAACGCCTCAAAAATGCGCATAAGGGCATTTGGGGAGCGTTTGAGGAGCATTAAAAATGCTTCCCAAATGCCTAACGCATGTCAAAGAAGAGTTAGAAATTAGTCAAGTGTGAACGAGCCCTAAGAGGGAGCAGTTGGTGGCCCCCCGCCCCACAGCAACAAGCAAGCTAGGCCTTAGAGTGACTTGTATATTGCAATCACTGAAGCTGAATTCACACCTATCTGCTCCAGTACTCTGCGTCAATATGCATTATGTTGCGTATTAACGCATGTAGAGTTGAGGTAGTTTATTAAAATCAATAAGCTGCCAATGCACCAGAATGGATAGGAAAACAGACCTGCACCATTTTTAGCCATGTAGAGCACCACAAACCAGGGTGATTTGTTTCCATGCGTTGTGGTGCCTTGAAGCATATGTGTGGTTCATTCACACTAACCCATGTATGGTGTTTTAATGCACTCAATACAGGAATGCATAACTGTGAATGCAGCTCAAGCCTCCAAGCTTTAATGTGGCTCTAAAGCTAAAACGGTTTTTACCTTAAAGTGGTTGTAAACCTCAGACATGATATATGAAAGCATATCCCTCTATAGTGTGTACTTGTCTCAATTAAGACCACTAAATGTAATTTCTGTCTGCTGCTTCATTCCTCTGCTATCTGCATGAATCACTTCAGACAAGTTTTCCTGATACCCAGTGTAAAATGGTGACAGGGAAGTGCCCTCCAGCAGATTAATAGTCTCAGCTCTGTTCTTATGAGCTGTGTGAAGTCATGGTATGCCCCTTCCCTCCAATCAGCTCTCAGATCTCTCCTCACTGAGCTCTGCAGTGTGTAATTTCAGCTCTCCGTCCCTTTTTTCTGAACTCCCAGACACGCTTTTTTTAAATATAGCACTTTATTTGGAAGTAGAGAAGCAAAGAGCAGATAATCAGGTACATATTATGTAGGAGGATTGGTTTCATCTCTGGGGTATGCTAAATGAGAAGGTGTACTCAATGAAAAATCACAGATTTGAATTACCTGAAGGAACACATCAGGAACAAAAGTGCTCAAATTGACAGAAATGTGGAGTTACTGCATCAGATTCAAGTGAATCTTGCAAAGCGCATGGAACTTTGCATCACAAATGATGGAAATCACATTGAGGATGTTATTGATTAATATTCCAATGATATAAAATGTTGTTGAAAATATACAGTTTGCCTATGTGTCCAGACTTTAGGGACACCCTGTACATTGATCGTCTTGTGCCTGGCTGCCAGTCTTCTCTCCCCTCTCACTGCTCCCACTATACTACACTGAGAGCAGTGGGAGTCATTGGCTGCCTCTGCTGTCAGTCAAATCCTGTGAGGATCTTGTCCAAGCAGCACTGTGTTTTTTCAAAAGTGGACAGTGTCAGTCAGTAGAGCAGTGGCCAATGTCAGTAGGGCAGTGAATGGTATCAGTAGGGCAGTGACAGCAGCGCAGTGGACATTGTCAATAGGGCTGTGGACAGTGTCAGTAAGCAGTGCATGTATCAGTAGGGCAGACGTTGGTGTCAGAAGGGTAGTGAACATTGTCAGTCAGTAGAGCAGTAGACATAACCAGTCAGTAGAGCAGTAGACATTACCAGTCAGTAGAGCAGTAGACATTACCAGTCAGTAGAGCAGTAGACATTACCAGTCAGTAGAGCAGTAGACATTACCAGTCAGTAGAGCAGTAGACATTGCCAATCAGTAGAGCAGTAGACATTACCAATCAGTAGGGCAGTAGACATTGCCAATCAGTAGAGCAGTAGACATTACCAATCAGTAGAGCAGTAGACATTACCAATCAGTAGAACAGTAGACATTGCCAATCAGTAGAGCAGTAGACATTACCAATCAGTAGAGCAGTAGACATTGCCAATCAGTAGAGCAGTAGACATTACCAATCAGTAGAGCAGTAGACATTGCCAATCAGAACAGTAGACACAATCAGTAGACAGTAGACATTACCAGTCAGTAGAGCAGTAGACATTACCAATCAGTAGAACAGTAGACATTGCCAATCATTACCAATCAGTAGAGCAGTAGATTGCCAATCAGTTACCAATCAGTAGAGCAGTAGACATTACCAATCAGTAGAGCAGTAGACATTACCAATCAGTAGAGCAGTAGACATTACCAATCAGTAGAGCAGTAGACATTACCAATCAGTAGAGCAGTAGACATTGCCAATCAGTAGAACAGTAGACATTACCAGTCAGTAGAGCAGTAGAGCAGAGACATTGCCAATCAGTAGAGCAGTAGACATTACCAATCAGTAGAGCAGTAGACATCACCAGTCAGTAGAGCAGTAGACAGTGTCAATAGGATAGTGACAGTGTCATTAGGGCAAAGGTTGTTTTTTTTTAAGTTTATATTTTTAAACTGATGTATATTATCTTTTTTTTTTTTTTTTTACTATCTGTATACGTTTTAAAAATAAACATGTAATATGAGACAAAATATTCCCCGAGCAAGTTAGGTTATCTAAAAAGAAAGCACAGAAATAATCACATCCTATCAGACAGACTGGCTTTTACAAACACTTTGGACGAAGCAGTCCAATAACAAAAGAGACGATAATTGAGTTTGTTAATTTCAACTCAAGCTATTGAACTCAAAAACAACATATATTCCCATACAAGGTAAGCAAATTGGAAAGCATAGGAAAAGCAGCCTTTAAGTGTTACTAAACCCAGGACCCTGCATTCACTACATCTGGTCTCCCATAGTACACAGAACATAGAAGTGCAATTATTTTAGAAGATATAAACTGTTAAATACCTTTTCTCATCAGCAGTTATTGCAGCCTTGTGACTTCTATCAGTGTCCAGCCGAGCACTGGTTAAAGCTTGTAGGGGTAGGTTTCATTTTGCTCTAAGAGGATGCAGAACCTCTGACCTCTGTCTGGACAATGCTGATTGGCCCTGTGCTGATCACATGCACTCTCCCAAGAAAAAAAAACCCCTCTCTAGTAATACACACCAAACTGAGCATGTGCAGAGTGACTCCACACAATATGTCTTATCAGGAGAAAAAGAGGGGGACACTGGAAGAAGAGGAAGATCAGAGAAGTCAGGATTAAACAGCCTTTTTACACAATGCAGAGGAATAACCCCTTCGGTTTCACAGGGAGTATAACGAGCATGCTTTACTGCATATACAGACTGATTTTACTGTTGTGGGTTTAGTAACACTTTAAAGCAGTATTAATCCCTAAATGAACCGTCTGTTGTACTGCAGCTTACCAATTCTTAGGGATGTTAATTTTCTTTTTTAAGCTTTCTTTCTTTTTTTCACCTAGTGATCCTGCTAATAAGTCTGTTGTTTTTCAACAAGAACAAGCTGCCCTGCAGATATAGTAGTTAGTGAGTTGAGAAAACCATGTATTACTGACGGGTGCATACAATTATCAGCTTTTATTTATGTAAAACCTTTACCCCAAAAAGAACAAAACACTGTTGCTGCAACTGCCTATAAAGTGTGAGCTGGAGTATGGCTTTCATTTGCTTAGTGTATCTAAATCTGCTTGTATATCTAATAAGGATGCACTGATGCCAGTACTGGTGCCAATATCGAGTATTTTTAGGAGTACTCAATACCAGAAACCGATACTTTGCGGTGCGATTTGCGCCATTACAAACTGCACCGCAAAGATTAGTGTGCGATTTGAACAGGAATGCGATTCCTGTCCAAATCGGAAGCATTTTCCCCAATGCTCCTGTTTGAACCCAGGCTTGTCATAGTCTGAGTTCAGACAGGAGCTGTGTGGGAAACCTTTCTGCAGGCATCCCAAGCTAAGCAGAGAGTGGGGATGTATGAGGCAAATGCCCCCATTTGCCCAGCGGTATGAGAGGAGAGAAAGAAGTGGGGATTTGAAATCCCCAGACCTGTTAAATGGCTTTCTCTGCTCTCCTTGCAGCGATGACAGTATGGGGTAGATGGCATGGCTGTCCATGTGACAGTGCTACCCAATCAAAAGCCCTCTAGCCTGAACTGTCATCACTGCAAGGAGAGGAAAGAAAGTGGTGGGGATTTGAAATCCCGCCCCTTTCACTCCTCTCCTACCACTGGGAATATGTAGCATTTGCTACCATAGTATACATCCCCACTCTCTGCACTGCTGCTGTGTGAACTCAGACTATGACAGCCTGGGCTCACAAGGAGCAGTGATGAAACCAATTGCGATATGGACAGGAATCGCATTCCTGTTCAAATCGTATGCAATTCTTTGCGGTGCAATTTGTGTCCATACATTTTGTATTGATGCATATTGCACTGCAAAGTATCGGTAATCGATATTGAAAATATCGGTACTCGTACTCACCAATTAAAAAAACAGTATTAGTGCATCCCTAGTATCCAACACTCCCCTTCCTGCAGACTGACAATGTTGCTCTCCAAAGGTGTCTCTGATGCTCCTTCATCCAGAGTGGGGGCACGCTAATAAAATGTGTTATTGGCAGATCATCAGGCAAAATCAGAAAGAAAAAGCCTAAAAAAAGAAAATTAATGCAAATGACAGATAGGCAATGCATTTAGGGTAAACAATGGTTTAATCTGAGAACAACTTTAACTGTGTAGACTGTACAAAAGGAAACCATTTTAGAATGTTTCGATGATGATTTTTCTAATAATGCATTAAAAAAACTCACCATAGCAGTGGACCACCTCCTCCCCTCTTCTGATTTCTCTACAAGCTCTAACCATTGCACATCTACCTTGAAAGGATACACTTGTGTTTGGTTCACATGAATGGTTTAACAAGCTTAGAACTGGAAAAACTGCAGTGGCAAGACGGGAGAACTTGCTGCTTTCCACTACTGAGGCAGCAGTTTCTAGAAATAATAGAAAGAAATTGTAACGTTTAAAATGTAATTATATATATATATATATATACATACACACACACACACACACACGGGATGGACAAAATTATGGAAATACTAGATAAAAGAACAAAATTGTTACCAAATATGGTGTTGGACAGTCTTTGGCATCCAAGACGGCCTATTTCTGGGAATATAAGTCATGGATAGTGGATAATGAAATCTTAAAACACTCTTCATGCAAAAATCACTCCAGCTCTCACAGAGCTGCCGGAGGTGGAAAAGGAGCCCGAACCTTATTCTTTAAAATTGACTATAGTTGCTCTATGACATTAAGGTAACTGCGGCGCCCAGGGAAGGTGCAAGGCTTTGTCTGCATGCTCATCAAACCAAGATTTGACAACACCAGATGTGTGAATTGGAGTATTCTTGTCTTGGTAAATGGCGCGGTCTTAAGGAAACAATGTATGCACCATGGGGTGGACATTATTGCCCAAAATTTGTACATAGTCGCTGGCAGTGACTCTACCTTTCAAGGTGATGATGGGGCCTGCAGAATACCAACATATGACTGCACAAGCCATAATTACGCCACTACCATGCTTTACCACTGGCACAAGACAGTCCTAGTCGCACGTTTGGGATGGAGTTTGCCACATGTAAACATGTCCAGTGGTTAGGAAGAATGTGAAAGCTCGATTCATCGGACCATAATACAGTCTTCCATTGATCGATAGTCCTCGATTTATGGGTGTTACACCACTCTCTCCTCTTCTGAGCATTAATATCAGTAACTAGTGGTTTGGCAACTGCAGCTCACCCGTGAATAATTTGCTTATGGAGTTCCCACTGCACAATTTTTGTGGACAAGACTTTGAAAGACTGAGATTGAGCTCTGCAGTCACTTTTGCAGCAGTTGTTTTCTTATTCTGGGTCACAATCCTGTGCAGTGTCCTTTTTCCTCTTTCAGGCAGTTGACCATGTCAAATGCGATTATGGTTATTAGAGTATGTTTCCCCAGAAACTGTATATGCCATCATAACCTTTAATCTGTACCCTGCGACACCGCAAATTAGTTGACAACTTCAGTCACAGAGGCACCAGCTAAGCAGGTACCAACGATCTATATACAGTTGCAAGAAAAAGTATGTGAACCCCTTGGGATTATGTGGAGTTTTGCATGAATTTGGCATAAACTGTGCTCTGAAAGTCATCTAAGTCACAACAATAGAAGAACACAGTCTGCTGAACATAATACTACACAAACATTAGATGTTGCCATGGTTTAATTGCACATAACATGTAAACATTCACAGTGCAGGGAGGAAAAAGTATGTGAGGCCCTAGCTTAATGTCTTCTCCCAGAGCTAATTGGAGCCAGGAGTGAGCCAACCTTGACTCCAATCAGTGTGATGATATTGGATGTGTTGCTGACAGCTGTCCTGCCCTTAAAAAACACACACCTGTTTTGGGTTTACTGGTTTCAAGAAGCACTGTCTGATGTGAAACATGCCTCGCAGAAAAAAATTCCCAGAAGACCTACAATCAAGAATTGTTGACTTGCATGAAGCTTGAAAGGGTTACAAAAGTATCTCCAAAAGCCTTGATGTTCATGTGTCCACGGTAAGACAGACTGTCTACAAATGGAGAAAGTTTAGCACTGTTGCTACTCTCCCTAGGCGTGGTCGTCCTGTAAAAATGACTGCAAGAGCACAGCGCAGAATGCTGCATGAGGTAAAGAAGAATCCCAGAGTGTCAGCTAAAGACCTACAGAAATCTCTGGCACATGCTAACATTTTTGTTGACACATCTACAATAAGGAAAACATTAAACAAGAATGGAGTACATGGGAGGACACCACGGAGGAAGCCATTGCTGTCCAAAAAGAATATTGCAGCACGTTTGAAGTTTGCAAAAGAGCACCTGGATGTTCCACAGCACTACTGGCAAAATATACTGTGGACAGATGAAACCAAGATTGAGTTGTTTGGGAAGAACACACAACACTATGTGTGGAGAAAAAAAGGCACAGCACACCAACATCAAAACCTCATCCCCACTGTAAAACATGGCGGAGGGAGCATCATGGTTTGGGGGCTGCTTTGCTGCCTCAGGGCATGGACGGATTGTTGTCATTGATGGGAAAATGAATTCCAGAGTTTATCAAGACATTTTGCAGGAAAACGTACGACCATCTGTCCGCCAACTGAAGCTCCGCAGAGGATGGGTGATGCAACAGGACAATGACCCAAAGCATACAAGTAATTCAACAAAACAATGGCTGCAACAGCACAGAATACGCCTTCTGGAGTGGCCCTGTCAGAGTCCTGACCTCAACCCAATTGAAATGCTGTGGCATGACCTTAAGAGAGCGATTCACACCAGACATCCCAAGAATATTGCTACACTGAAACAGTTTTGTGAAGAGGAGTGGTCCAAAATTACTCCAGATCATTGTGCAGGTCTGATCTGCAACTACAGGAAATGTTTGGTTGAGGTTATTGCTGCCAAAGGAGGGTCAACCAGTTATTAAGTCCAAAGGTTCACATACTTTTTCCTCCCTGCACTGTGAATGTTTACATGTTATGTGCAATTAAACCATGGCAACATCTAATGTTTGTGTAGTATTATGTTCAGCAGACTGTGTTCTTCTATTGGTGTGACTTAGATGACGTTCAGAGCACATTTTATGCCCAATTCATGCAAAACTCCACGTAATCCCAAGGGGTTCACATACTTTTTCTTGCAACTGTATATATATATATATATATATATATATATATATATATATATATATATACACATACATATATATACACACACACACATTCCCCTCCGTTTCAGAAACAGAGGGACCTTCTGAAATATTGGACTAATAAATACATCAGTTACTAATTCTAGAAATCCTGTGTACACCTTGCAAACAAAATTAGGCTAGAGCCAGTTCCAAAAAAATTGGAAATGTATTAGCATATTTGCCACCTAACAACATATGCTCTCTATATATGCATACACATTATAAATGTGTGAAATAATGACATAAGTAGTATATCTCTGTGTCCAAAATAGATACACTAAGGCTTCATATACACTACAGTAGCACATGGACCCATGGAAGCAAAATTGGGCAAAAAATTAGTGCTGTAGTTGCCATTCCTTATTAGTGGCACTCTAAACATGGCCAGCTAGACGCATGGTTTATATGTGAAAAAAAACACAACATACTGTACATGGCTAAAAAAACTTGCAGTACTCAGAATGATTCTTGAGCTTACTCGATGCATTTGTTGCATGTAGGGCACCTCATTGAAATGAACGCAATACCCTATTCAGGAAGTGTCAATGCACAAAAACCGCATGAAAACAAGCGTACTGGAGGCTTATTGTAGAGTTGTGTACCCTATGAATAGTAAATTACAATGAATGAAGTAATACATGTATAACAAAATGTGAATCCTCCTAATAAAAGGCTACCAAACATCACTATACTCAGGGAGACATAATTTTCAATAACTGCCTCCAGTGTTTAGGCATCAAACACATTACCATCTGGTTAAAACAATCTCTTTTGGATTTACCAACAATTAATAACTGCATGGGCTTTTCTAAACTATCCTTTCAATTTACATCTATTCAAAAAGGTCTCACACTAAATAGATGTTAGTAAATCCAAAGGATATTGTAAAATCATATTTTAAGCTTGTGGTCAGAAACCGAGAGTTTCAATAAATGATGGATTTCCTTTTGTTTCTTACCACCCTGTATTTAAAAAGTTTGTAGTGTACAGGACACCAGGGATGGGTCCTGGATGGGACTGACCAGGGTGTCTTCTTTGTTTGGGTTGTGATCCCTTTAAGCGGAATGACAAAAAGCAGTGTGAAGTACTCAGGGATTCTCACCCGTGCAGGGTGAGGGGTTCTGGGGTGATTCGATAAAGGAGAACATTGACTTGTAATTTACCCAGGATTATTAAGTCCTCATATGGGTCCTGAAATTTGGAGGCTTGGAGAGATTTTGAGTGGTAAAGAGTCTCCAACCCAAACTTTTGGTGCTTTGGTCCTTTTGGTGATCAGGTTAACCCACCTGCAAGAGAGGAATGAAAAGGCAAGAAGCAGCCAACAGGTGTCCATGAGGTGTTGAGTAGAACAGGGCACAGCTATGAGAGAAATGTGGTCTGTCTTGGATATTGGGATGTTGCTGAGCTCTTACGACCTTTCAAAACTCCTAAACAGGTGGGAACTTTAAACCTTGTTGTGGGTCAGGTTTACACTAGTAGTGATCCAAATTTCTGTTTCTGTACCAGAATGTATGGGCTGTTTTTTGTTTGGTTTATGCTGAAGAAAAGCTACTTTGTTTGCCTGTTTTTGAATAAAAATCAGTTTGCTTTAACGAAGATGGCTGGCTATTGATCTGGACCCCCAAAATATCACAGGGGAAATACATTCTACATACTTTTAACCTGCTTTACAAATGCATCTTCTATACCATGTAACATGCTTTCTTTCATAATACTAAAAATACCAATGCATTTAATACTATTGCTGTCTTCGTATTTTGGAGACTGCTAATATAAACATACAAGAAAGAATTCCTAATAATTACCATCAAAATCCTGTTGGAGGACTGTCACTGCTTGAGCATTGCAATGGAGCTGGAGCATGTGAAAGAATATAGTTGAACCAATTTATGTGCATATCTGATTGTTCTTTTTCTGTTGTCGTCTCTGCATTTAGACTTGATGCTTCCATGCTTGTTTTCAGGATGTCGGGACATAATTTCTTACACAAAGCTGCACTTGTAAGGCCATAAAGAAACTTCTGCTCCTCATTCTGAAGTTCAGGGTGTGCTTGGAGAGTAAATAAAGATTTATAGTTGCTACAATACTGCTCATTATAAATGATCCCACTTACACTGTCCTGAGCTTTAGTCTTCACATCCAGCGCCTGGTGAAAGACCTCAAAAACCTGTCTGAGGCCAGCCAGTAAGACTGTCCTCAGTGCTGTGTGGCAGAACACACCTAGAGCAAGAAGACAGCTACCCAATGAGCATTCCACATAGTGATACCCCTTCCAGGCCACATCTCTACAGTTAGGGCTACAATATCTGGCAAAACTGCACTGGTGACAAGGTAGGGAGGTCAAACTCCTTTGTAGGCAGTGGTGACAATAAAGATCACAGTTAGTAACACTGACATCCCATGTAGCTTTAATGCTGCTTGGCTTTCTGTCAGGAATAATCACACTGACATAGGCTTCTTCCCCTATCAAGAGCTCTCCATGTGCAATATCCTGAGTAGCCACCAAGTGGCGACCTTTGGAATTGCTGAAATGCATGTCTAGGGAACTGGAAGCATTAGTTAGCTGCAGGTTTCTGTCTAACTTCAACTCTTGTAGTCTGCCACATAACGCATCTGCAGCATGCTCCCTTGTGGGATCAGTCAGGTTAATACTTTCTGTGCTGGGAAGACGAATGCTGGAGAATTCAGATTGTTTCAGCTTTCGCAAACACTCTGCCTGCCGCTGAAGTATTTTTGCTCTTTATTCGTTCAGGATATCCATGCTCTTGTGCACGATCGATGTCTTCCAGGCATTCCTAAACAAAGAATTCCCCAAGGGAAGAAAACATCACTGTCACATTCCCAAAGTGGTTTCTATTCTTTCTTTTGTCTCATCACTGAGAATTGCACACAAAGATCATTCTTCTTATTAGGTTTAATGTAGAAGTGAAATCACACTACACACAAACTAGATTTAAAGGGCCTACAGCACCTTAAGCATTAAACATTTTATATATTATTATTATATATATATATATATATATATATATATATATATATACACACACACACACATATATATACTGTATATACACACACACACACACACAATCGCATAGGTGAGGTGCACAGCAGTATCTGATTACAGTGCATAGCAATCAGGCCCTCCCAAAAGGCCATATATAGAAAAAGGAAGGGGAATGCTGCACTCAAAAATCTTAATGTAGAAAAAGATAATATACAAAAAATACAAAATAATCAATACAGTGTTGAACACTGTATTGATTTTTTTTTGCATATAATCTTTTTCTACATTAAAGCGGAGTTCCACTCAAAAGTGGAAGCTTCGCTTATTTGCCTCCTCCCCCCTCCACTGCCATATTTGGCACCTTTTGCGGGGGAGGGGGGAGCAAGTACCTGGTTTTGACAGGTACCCACTCCCACTTCCTGGGAACTCTCACAGGTCCCAGGAGACTGCTGGACCAATCAGGAGGCGCGGCGTGACTCGCGCATGCGCAGTGGACACCAGGCTGTGAAGCCGCAAGCTGTCAGAGCCTGGTGCCCACAGTGGAGATGCCGGCGCCATAGCACACAGAAAAAGAGAAGGGACTGCACGGGTTAGTACATAGTTGGACCCTGGGACAGGTAAGTGTGTGTTTATTAAAAGTCAGCAGCTACAGTTTTTTCTGCTGACTTTTAATAAACACAAAAACGCCTGGAACTCCGCTTTTTAAGATTTTCTAAGTGCAGCAATCCTTTTTTGGACTGGAAACTGGCAAACAAAATAAAAATCTTAGGACAACCCAGGATAACTTCTTAAACAACTGGCATGCTTCAATTTTGTAGCAAGGAATACCAAGAATGTTATAAGAACATAATTACAAACACAAAGCGGTGGAATCTATGACCTTCAATGGACTCCAAGAAAAAGATTTTTATACTGAGTACAAGACAATAGGAGAGAGGTAGTGGTGGTGCTCAGGGAGTCAAAAGCAAGGGAAAATGATGACCAAATGATCAATGTCCCATAAACACATGTAATCTAAATAAACAGATTATTGTCTATAGTCCTTGTAAGTAATAGGTCCATGTGACTATGACCAATGGAAGCGGCATGGCAGGCAAAAAAGATGCGATACAGCAGCGCTTTCTGAGTGTAGTATTGTAATGAAAACAATTTAATAATAAAATAAAGCAACTCATAAGAGAAGCACATAAACTTGCATATGCAAGTTTATGTGCTTCTTTCGTGAATTGCTTTATTTTATTATTAAATTGTTTTCATTACAATACTTCACACAGAAAGCACTGCTGTATCCCTTCTTCTTATAGTGAGTGTAAAATTTTATTTTTCTTCTCGCCCCATGAGGGACAAAGCAAATAACGACTAACAGGCTCAAGAGCCACCTTGGGAACAGATGAGTTCAAACACCCCATGTGGTTGGGGAAGAAAATAACCAGAGCAAAAAGAGATGAGGAACTATGTCTGATGTCCCAGGGCCAAGAGAAAAGTAAGTTGAAGTTGGGGAATGTCTTGACAGACACCAGCCACATTCCAAAAGCATGAAGCTGACTAACCTAATATAACTAGAAGGATGGAACAAACAAAGATTTTCTGACAAGACTGGTAATCAATGATGTGGTCAAATAGTGGAGAGAGAACCCCAGGAAACTGCAACTTGACAGAAAACCCTAAGATGAATGTACCGATAAAGTAAGAAAAAAAAAGAAGGCCCTAAGCATCAACTCACCTGATCTCATGAGGAAAGAGGAACCTAAAAAGGCCTATGTCTAAAAAGGCTGCCAAACAGATTCACCTAAACGACTATTAGAGATAAATTCTTAACATAAGTCAGAACATCTCCTGGGAGTGTAACATTGGCTCCAAGAGGAAATCCCATACAAGACAACCTTAGCCAGGGAATAGAAAGTAGACCTCTTCTAATATTGGAAGGAAAGCTACAATCTGACAGAGGATCAAGCTCAGCACCTCATCAGCAAGGAACCACCCTTGAGGTGAAGCCCTAAGGTAAGAGACTAGATGAAAGCCCTTCCTATCTTGAGTCCTCCTCTCGAGTCTTTGAGGCAAACAATGAGGAAGGACCTAGATCTGGTTGAGACCATTTCCTGCTGCTGCCAGAAGGTTATTGTGCCAGGAAGCTAGCTTGTTCAAAATGCGGACGGCTCAGGGAACCATGGAGCCTCCCTCTGATGTCATCTTCTTGCAACGCAGGATCAGAAACGCACCTTGGTGCTGGATCACTCAGAATTTGGCAGTTTCTAAAAACTGACCTTTCGAAGACTGCAATCGACAAGAAAAGAGAGGCCAGCACTAGAGTACAAGGTAGTGTCCGATTCAGGACCTAAACTACTTTTCTTGCAGCAGCATGATCTCCTGTTCCTCCTCAATGGTAGAGGCATGCCAGCACTGTGACACAGTCATCCAGAAGTGAAATAAAAGGCTGCTGAACACTGGATAAAAATTATGAAGTGTCCATATTTATTGTAAAAACCGGGGTACACAGTCCACTGAAGGTGAAAGAAAAGGCTGTGGCACACTGGATAGATCATGAAGCGTCTATATTTACTGTAAAAATTGTCCATAGACATGGCAGCGGTCCTACAGCAGGAAGTGTCATGTCTGTAGCCTAAGACCAAGAAGGAGCTAGGACAAAGATCTTTTGATCCAAGATACCCCAGGGGTTCAGTTAGGTCTACTAATCTGTGCTGTGACTCTGGAAGGTATAAGGTGAGGTTCTAACTAGAGTAATAGTCGTGGGGGGTTCAGTTTGTAATTCTGAGAGGGCAATTGTGATGGATGCAGTGTCAGACCCCGGGCCACCTTCACCAACTTGTGACAAGCGGCTGATCAGACTCACAATGTGCTGTCGCTGATATGTGACAATGACACTCTCAGCCTTGTCTACCATATAGTATTCAAAGAGACAGGAATTATTTAAGTTCTGTGTTAGTGCATTAGGGACAATATTAACACTTTTCAAAATACTGTTTAAACGCTTCAGCTCCAGAAGATTTTATCCCGTTCATGACCAGGCCATTTTTTGCTATACCTCATTGCGCTAATTTAACTGGTAATTGCGCAGTCATGAAATGCTGTACGGAAACAAACTTTATATAATTTTTTTCCCCCACACAAATACTGCGTCCTTTTGGTGGTATTTGATCACCACTGGGTTGTTTTATATTATATAAATTAAAAAAAATATAAAAAAATTAAAAAAAAAAAAAAAAAAAAAAACCCAATTTTTTTTTACTTTCTGCTATATATTCAATAGAAAATAAAGTTTCTGCATAAATTTAGGCCAAAATGTATTCTGCTATGTCTTTGGTAAACAAATCCCAATAAGTGTATATCAATTGGTTTGTGTGAAAGTTATAGCTTCTACAATTGACAGTATATATATTGAAATTTTTTTTTATTTATTCCAGTAATGGCAGCGATTAGCAACTTATAGTGTAGCAGGTGATCTTAGCTTCCTTTGGGTATTAAGCTTCATGTGATGCAATTTGCCACGACTGATGTGCGATTTACTGCGTGGCAATCTGTATCACGCAAAGCTTGTCGCCCCCCCCCCCCCCCCCCCCCCCCCCCCCCCCCAAAAAAAACCCCATAAGCTTTTTTAGGCCAACAAGCTTCACACTATGCGATTTGCTGTGCCATGTCAAAATAATGGCACGCTGGGATTCTGTTAGTCTGTACAATTCTTGAAAGTGAGGATACCCTCAATTGACCTTATGGTTTCCCTATTAAGGTGGGTCACTGACACATCCACCGTGGGTATAGACCACTGCTTAATAAAATCCTTTCCAAAAGGAACCAAATCCAGTGGATGCTCAGGGGACCCATCAGAATGCTACCAATCCCAATAAAAGAATTCCTCTTTGCAGCTGTAAGAGCTCTGAAAAACACAAAACTAGAGGTAACAGTGGTAAGTGACTGTAGAAGGGGACTTATTTGATAAAGCATGGGGATTGGCCTCACCTGGCAGAGCAAAGGGGATTTCCAATGACAGGGTAGACCCTATAACTAGTTATATAGGGTAACAGGATTCCATATTGAAGAAGTCAGTACTATCGAACGGTACAAAACAAACAGCCCTGGGAACCATTAGCGAAGGAAAGTTCTAGGCATAGATAAAGACGTTGCAACCATGTGAGGGTGATGCAACCAACCAAGACCTTAGGTAATCACAAAAGCTTAGACAGCCAGTAGCCAATGAGATAACCACAGGTAACCAATGTCACAGCGGATGTGTGGTAGGAACAAACTGGAGATCAGATTTCCACATGTCTCTGTGCAATGCTGGAGCAGCAGCAGCAACGGGTAGATGCTTCCTTGATTTTGAATGGCAGAAGAGAAAGCCATCCAGTGGATGTCAGTGCTCAGTCCCACAGGAGGTAGAAACTGGAGAAGAGCAAGAATTTTAAATGCAGCCAGCGGTTCAACGGTGAGGATACTCACCATTGCGCTGAAGCAATGCAAACAATTCTGGAGCCTGGAAAGCACTCTGTGCATAACTTGTTACCTGAATGGTGCCTACAAAGCGTCTTATGTGGCACCCAGGGCCTAAAGGTCACTTCTAGGCTAGACCTGCAAAATCCAAGCAGAGTCTGGGCATGGCACAACAAAACTAGGCTGGGAAAAAGGCCTTTCTGGATAGCTGCAACTGTACAGACTAGCTCTTGAAATGATTTACAGAGGAATCTTGAAAAATGCTAGAAGCAAAATAGCTAGACCTTTTCCAGCGGACCTAAGTAAAGAAGTCTATTCTCCTAGGATATTTGCAAAAAAGTG